GTTGGTTGGTAATTTTATCCTGCGGCCTACAGTACGCCAGAAATAAGATCTGGCTGCATGGTTCATTCGTGAAAGCACAGGGTTGACTTCCTACAGATAGAAATTGTCACGTTTTTAATCAACATAATTATACAGTAAAACATATTCTTTGCACGACAAGCACACCCATATTTGTTTCTTAAGTTATTTAAGCATCAGATTCTGTCTTTCGCAAACAGAATTAAAAAAACCTTCCGGTTTTAGTATCATTGGTATTAGAATTTTTAAACAGCAGTAAAAACGATTCTTACGGAAATAAAATTCAACGAAATTATATGGAAAATATATTATACTGCTCTCGAAATATTGCACTGGTCATAGGCACTACTGTATCACTTATAGGTGACGTTAATAATTTGGCGGATGCAATTTACCAAAAAATAAAATTTAAAGGTCGTAGAACATATTTTTTATACATTTCTTTTAAATCGAGAGTTACCTTTTCATCGAGAATAACGTTTAAATGAAGCGCAATCTTCTATTAAACGAGTATGGGAAAGGGTATACTGATGTTGGTTATTGCAATATAGATCACAACGGGCATAGAAAATAAATGCGCAAATGTGTATAACTCTATTTATCATTTTTAAGAGAGAACGTAATATTTAAACAGTCAAAAAGCCCCTCTCAAATGCTGGTATTTCACTGTAAGGAAACTCACTTGAAAAAAACTTTTAGGCTTTTGAAGAATTGCAACGTTTACTTCTTTTCAACGGACAACGCATTCGCGAATTTTGGTTGCCTTTTCATAAAATTGGGAACGTACGGCAGTTAAATAAATGAGGGTGAATAAGGTAAATAACGTTAGGAGTGGAAGAGATCAACTTAACCAGCTACATAGAATAGCCTTATCTCAATCTATTTCTGTCACAAGAGGATGCTCACCTTCTTTCGAGCTTCTGCCTGACCCATAAAACGCGGTAATTGGAGAAATGACTACTTATATAGTATTCATGTGTATCATTGATTTTGACTGCCCTTGTAAATTTAAATGTATCTTAGGGGAAACATGCACGAAAACATACTTCCTTGCTATTCATGACCCCCTGGTCCACAGACAGCTAATTAGCATACACCACTATAATTGCCCCCCGACCCCACTGACAGCTAAGTGCGTCTCTCCCCCATCCCTGCTGATAGCTGTTTCTAACAGCCTGACAACTTGATTATTTCTGACAGTTGTTTGGCCTATGGCCACTATAATTATCCTTGTTTTGTTGCTACTTCCCACCTCTGAAGATGGACTCCTGCAAGAGTTCGAAGGCTCAGGACAATAAATC